ACAGCGCACGTTGGCTCATGATCAAATATCAGCTTACCCACTTGAACGCCTCCGCTGTTAATGTCTCAATAAACATTTCTGTTGCAGGGACATTAATTGATCGCGCGCACGACGTCGAAAACGCTTCAAATTTGAACAGGATGAACAACAGAGCGACAGAGCCGATCACTTTTTTCTCCTCGGATTACATGCAGCGTATGAAGCACTCGAGTCTTTTCACTGGAATTTCACCGCGTGGAGCAATCCTTTGCGATAGATCGCGTGATTCAATGTCGCGGGCTTGGAACGAGACGAAATTCACTTCATTTGCGTGAGATGTCCAGCACAAAAATCTGGGCAACAAAGTTCCAATATTTCTAAAATAAAGGAATAATCTTTTTGTACATAAAACAATGACAAATGGTGTGGTCAGAAGCCTGTCTCGTTATCTACATTTTTGACAAAAGTTCGCAGAGACGTCCTATTTTTCAGCTATCTAAACTAGAACCTCCCTTTAATGTTGCTTGATACACTGAAAGAAGTTATTCGATAAGAAATTAACAAACGGGTACTTCCGATCAAAGTACTGATGAATTTTTGTATCTAATCAGGAAACATTCGATGAGAAATACGGATTCATAATTTTTTGATCAATTTATCTAATAAAATACCATTATATGATCGGAAGTATTCGATTAATTTCATCGGATTTAAAAATTCATCAGTATTTTGATTGGAAATATCCGTTTTTTTATCGGACAATTTCTGTCAGTGTAGCCGCGGGGTCGCAGCGCAGAGCGACGAATGTTTCCTATAACGCTCACGAAATCGTTCGCTTTTGCGTGGGGGTTGTGTGGAGGTCGCGAGCCGGCGAAAAGGACGAGAGCGAAATTGAGCGTCTCTCGGAGAAAGGGTCGATTCGCCGGGGCGATGCTGATAACAGCGGACGCTGAATGCCGCCGGCCGCGAATCGCGTCCTTCACGATCGACTTTATCGTACATTATACAAACTTTGTCCCACGTTCGCCGCCGCCGCACCTAATCACCAAGTGATAAAGCACGGCGCGATGGAGAGAATGGACGCGGTCTCGTTCCGTGTTATGCCATATATCCGTGAGTGGTCATAAAGGTCCGCTCGATACGCGCAAGAATGCGTCAACGCGTTTACATTCGTTGATGAAAAGCTCTGCCGATATGAGTGCTGACGCTGCTTTCGATCTATCTATCTGTCTATCGCAAGTCTCCGTGAAGGCGGACACGCCGCGATTTGACCCAAGTATCGAGTCAAACGTCGAGAAATTGATCTCTAAAGCGCCGATTCTTCAATAGCAATTTGAACTTAGACTTATGTTTCAACTTTGTTCTAACAATGATGTGTTTGAACCGAGAAACTTAAATCTAAAGTTAAATTATCGTTGAAAAATCGGCCCCAAGTGTTTTACGTTCGTACACGGAAAAAACAATATGGTTGATCCATACAGAAATCTGGTTGTGCCAACCAGATTCAATAGTAAAATACGGAACAACTATTTATGTGGTTGCTGTAACCAAAGAGCAATGGCTGAGTTATTTATGTTGCAGCAGTGATAATACATGGTTAATACAAACGCGGCTCATTACGCGACAACTACAAATGTATATTTATTCACTCAGAATCAGTTTTCACATGTATACATCTCTAGCTGTGCACGTAGTGAATTGCTTTTGTTTTCTAACATCGCTGCTTTGCAATATAGCATTGATTAATGCAACTATATCGATATTTAATCGATTATCTATGTAAAATGATCCCCTTACTAATTTCTGGTTGCCACAACCAGATCACGCGCAACTTTATTGATGTAATTGACACACCAAAGTAAGTCAAATCAACCATACACATAACTACAAAGATATATAGAATGATGCAGCTATTGCTTACAACTAAATATTTTTTGTTAGGTACACACCATCTTTTTTTTCCGTGTACTAATAGTCTTCACTTTAAATTGATCTCACGTGAGATACTTAGGCGCATATTAATAATTTTCACTTGAAATTTGTCTCATGAGGTACTCAAACTTTTATTCAAAGTTCGATACAAATTTTTTAATTAAATTGTGATACATTTGACTTTTGTACCTATAATCGTGATTCAATTGAAAAACTTTCATCTAACTCTGAATCATGAAGCTCACTTGAGATGAGTTTCAATGAATAACTATTAATACGAGCTGTAGACGAGCCTTAAACAAACATTAGTGTAGAAACGTGTCTCAGATGAGATACTCAGATTTGAATTTAGGTCTATATTAATAGTCATCATTTGAAGTATATCGCAAGTGAGATACTTAGATTTGAATTCAGAGTTACATGAGAATTCTTCCGTTAAATTGCAATTAGAGATATAAATATCACATACGTGAGACGAATTTGAGACGGCAATTATTAATACTGGTCTAGACTTATATTAATAGTCCTTACTTCAAATTAGTCTTATGTAAGATAAAGTTTTATGTAAATATTCAAATCTGAATTTAGAGTGAGATTTAAAATAAGTTTCTCATTTGAATCACGCGATATTTGACATTGCATCTGTAATTGCAATGCAATTGAAGAACTCACGACTCTAAATTCAGATCTCAGTATCTATCTTGAGACAAGTTTCAAGTAACTATTATTAACACATACCTTAGAAATGGATGTTTCTTAATTGAATCGTAAGTACAAATGTGTAATATTACGTGTATGATTCAAATAAAAAAGACAAATCTAATTCTGATACAGATCTGAATATCTCACGTGGAAAAAGTAATGATTATTAACATGGGCCAAAATCCTCATCTCGCTCATGTTTTTATTATTTATAATTTTATTATTTATAATCTTGTGATCGTACTTACGCATTTCTCAGCTGAGCAGTTGCATATTACTCTCGTTTTAGACAATAATAAATAAATAAAATAAGTAAATAAAATATAATAAATAAATGGATTCACAAAGTGCCGTTTTAGCGAGAGAATCTGTAATCGATCTTTTTTTTCATTAGATTGAAGCTTGGAATAGTGATATATGAATAATCGTCGATTTAAAGCGACGAAACCTTCGCGCCTGAAACTGAACTTTTCGGCAGCGAGAAAGCAGAACTTCGTTATAGAAGTTGAGTCTGAACAAACTTCATTTTCTCGCGCTTTCAATTTCGCGGTTCAATCGCCGTGTCCGCCGTAGTAGTAGTTACATTGGTTAAATTTAATCGGAAGTTGGAAATTGATCATGCTCGTATCAGATCGGTCTCAATGCCGCGGGATATTCCATCTCGTGTCTCCGTTACTTGAAGACCCGTCGCCACATTCGCCGAGAGGATAAACCTCGCACGTCGATCTGCACATCCTATTTCCAGCCTCCCTTGATAGATTGCTCGATGATTACATGCCACTTGTCTTCCTTGTGCGACACGTTCGAGTGTCCTGTGTATTTGCCGCCCCGTCATAACGATGTCCACGATATCGTCAAGATGAGAATTGAGATCATCTGTTAGCATAGAGACTAAGCGACTAAGCAAAGATCTCTTTTCGCCTGTTATGTCCCTCCGTTTCTTTCGTGAACGATGAAATTATAAGGATATAAGCCAGAGTGAACGATGCAAAGTGTTAATTATAGAGAAGTTCATGATTAATGAATGTTGTTACATTAATTAGAATTATTCCATCAATAATTATTCCCGTATATTTGTGATTATTGTCAGATGAATACACAAATTGAAATAATACCATTGCAATATGCATACGATGATTTGTAGATAATAATTATAAACGAATGAATGAAAACGTTGGCTGAACTAATAGTGAAACGAAATGTGGGCTGAACTAATAATAAATCAAGAGTCGTGCACACACACACTCTGAGCTTGTTCCAAACAAGTTATTGCAAATTAACTTCTGTGTTGGAGTGTTATGTTTTATTCATGTTATTTAATCGATATTTTAATTCACGCGTATTTAATGTCATTGAGATAGCAACATTATGATTGCTCGCTGCAAACTCTAGGATTCTGGAATAAAATGGGGTGCACAGCATTACTACGTCAAATGAGTATTTGACAAGCAGTTTGCAATCGATGTCACGTCAGGATACAATCCTCCTGTGTCATCAACTAAATATACAAATGTGCTCAATATTTCGTTTTGTGCTTTACTCATGTAATGTAAGACGATTGTCTAACAGAATGACACAATTTAATATACTGTGTGTATATATGGCAATACTACAAATGTAAAACAAAGATTTTAAAAGTAAAAAGGGAAACTATTGTTTTTGTAGGGGATTTCTCTCTTAAGTTTGATAATTTAATAGATTACAAGCTACAACTTCTGTTTGACGATTAACGACAATTACGTGAGATTCCAGGAACAACTTGTGTAACTATTAAATTATAATTCACTATTAAATTATAATTCACTATTAAATTATAATTCACTATACTAAAACGAACAGAAAACTACATTTTCTACAATGCGATTAATTTTGCTTAATTTTTACTCAATTCGTTCAAAACAGACATTTTTAATCGTAGATTTATCTTCAGTTCAAGAGGGATACTAACGATGTTTCAATGTACCGCAAAATTAATCGACAGAATAGCGAAACGAACGCCCTCTTATCACAAGCAGGACCGTATCAGCTTTCAAATATACTTTGTTTCTACGACTTATCTATATTGAGATGTCGACAAACAACGTATTCTTTTATGGAGAATGTGACCCATTGAATGTTGCGTGTCGCAATCTCTGCGAAAAATTGACACAGGGTCGTGAAACGCCCCTTTGAGGAATTTAGACTGTGCGTTTTTATCACATATGCTCTTGTCATGACTTGTTAACATATATAATCATGGCACGTGATATTCGCCATATATTAATGCATAACTATATCGGTTATGTAATAAATAGTTTCAGATTTTTAGTTGAAATGAAATGATTGTATTTTTACGTCGTTATAATTTTGTGAAATATATGTGGAGGGTGGCAAATGATAGATCAAAATCACGCATACATTGTTTTATAAAATTAAAAATATAAACATATTTTGTTTTACCCGACAAATTCAAAAGTACTTATTACATAACTCCCAATATATTTAGATAAAGCATTATAGAGAGTGTTGAAAGTACTTATCACACGGAGTTTCATATACATCTCACACTATTAAAGTTCACCAGTTTACAATAATCTACAATAAAAATTGCTCGAATATATTGGTATTTAGAATTTCTTAAGAATTTCACTCACAAATGCCAGAAAAGAAAACATTCGTGCACTAAAAATTCACATGATCTCTCTCCTAAGCAAATTCTGATTATAAAAAAATTAATAGTGACATAATCGTGTAAATTTTTAGTACACGAATCATATTATAATTTATCGAACATCGATTAATGTAAAATAAATGTCTTTATTTATTTCTACACAGAAACTCGAAAATTTAACACTCGATATTTTTTTTTTATGATAATAATTCAGATGTTGCCTCTTCAGTTGAACTTATTCATAAAACACACGACGTAAATCATTTTATCGCTCAGACAACTGTATACATATACACATAAGTATTTTTTTCTTCTTTAATTTTTCTGTATACCGTATTTATATGTTTTAATGGTAACATAATACTGGATCTACACTGATTAAATAGTCTCACGTAACTGTATTCACTGGAACTCGCAGAAGGATAATATACAGTCACGTGCACATTCGTGTGCATGTGAGTGTCATATTGCCTAAAATAGCGCGCCTGTTGCATTCAGTCGACAGTCCTGAAAGAAAAACGATCAAATTAACATATATGATCGGTCATATTATCGTCAAAGACACGATATCAATAACACCATGAATAAATATAACTATACTTGAATCGGTTTCGCGATTAAATACTTGATATAAGAATATGCTGGAACACAGATACGCACAAGCGATATTAGTCACCTCGGTTTTCGTAAAATTACGTATATTTAAATTAAATGTCCTATATATCTAACTACATTAATTAGTTTCACAAGACACTTTCTTTTTAATTCTGATGAACGTATTTATAGGCAATACTAGCACATGCAGTAGATAAATCATAACGTATAAATTAGTATAGTATTATTATAGTGAGTCAAAGGAGATTAGGATTATATTAAAATGACATTGTATATCAGGAAATATATAGAAGGATGAGGTAGCATGCAATGTTCAAAGATCGTCGTAGGAATCGCTGTCGCTATAAATCTCGCAAGCAGGTTCTTCTCTGAGCAACTCTCGTTCTACGTACACGATACGAAGTGTATTCGTAAAGCCAGAGCCTTGTCGCCATCCTGTCACGACTATAACCGAGTCACCAGTCTTGACGAAACCGCGACTCTTGCCGAAGTTCAACCCGTATTGTACACGTGTGTCCACGTCTTTCACCCAGTCGGCCAGTGGTGCCTCTGCATGACAGAAATAACAGTTTTACTACTCTGTATCTTAGCAATAATAAAACGTGTTATCATTGTTGTAGGAACAAAAGTGAATGAGAAAAGCGGAGGTTCTTCACAATTCAGTTGAATATTATGACGTGTATATTTGATCTTCTCTCAGATATGTAAAAAATTGAACATTTAAAAGTGATTTAAAGTAAATAGCATTTCTTTTTAGAGATACCTTCGTAGTACAATGGCAATATTCCGCGGTACAAATGCGCCTGTCGGGCGACTTGATGGAACCTGGTAACAGCGATGATCGGACAACGCGGCCTATATTTTGCGATCAGGTGCGCTGATCGACCAGACGTCGTAATGACAATGATGGCAGTGGCCAAACACTTGACGGACGCCTCCACAGAGGCGACGGCGACGGCATGCGTAGCGTCGATAGGTGGCAATGCTTTGTTCGACAGATCGTGAAAGATTTGCGTCTGCCAAATCGCGGCCTCCGCTTCCTTGCAGATATTGGCCATTGTGCGAACACACTCCAGTGGGTATTCTCCTTTCGCTGTTTCACCTGAAAACGTATGAAGTCTTAGTGCATTCATGAGAAAAGGAAGATTAACTAGACGTACAAAAATTACAATAAATCTTCTCTCACACAAGGAGAATTCAATAAAAATTACTATAGAATTTTGTAATCGGCATTTTATAGCAATTGATCATCCTTTCATATCATATGTATTATTATTATTATATCTTAGGAACTAAAATGTGTTATTACAAAAATTTTCTATATTATAGCATATTATTTATTATTCTATATTATTTATTATTTATTATTATTTTATAGCAAAAGAGACTTAATAACAGTCTATATTTGCACTGTTAGAAACATAGTAAAATTGAAAAGAATTTATTTGAACAAAAAAAATTATATTACTCTCCGTGCAAAAACAAATGTTTATACATATCACTTCCCAATTAACACTGAGTATTAATTATATTACATCTATTATAATTTTACATTCCATGTAAATGTAATATAACATGATGTTATAATATAAATATAATGTAATAATGCTTGATGTGTTGATTAGATTATATTTAATTTTCGATTAACCATAATCTGTCGAGAAGTACCATTTTATGTTTTACCCGCTTGATACAAAATTACTTAATCATTTTGTCTTCTGTCGTACTACTTTTGTTTTATAATTATTACTATATTGCGTGACACTATGTTATTGTGTCATTTTTCATTGTTATTATGTCTTTTTTCTTGTAATATAATTTTTGTCCTCTAATTTGTCTATTTTTCTTCTCACATTTGTTTGTCTGAAGGATGAATTACCTGACAGCATGACGCAATCAGCGCCGTCCAGAATAGCATTGGCAACGTCTGACGTCTCGGCCCTGGTGGCTCGCGGTTTTTTCACCATGGATTCCAGCATCTGCGTGGCGCAGATTACAGGCTTGCCAACTTTGTTGCACCTGCTGATCATGGACTTTTGCGCCAAGAACACCTTCTCCGGCGGTATCTCTATTCCCAAGTCACCGCGCGCCACCATGATGCCGTCAGACGCCTCGATGATCTCGTCGAGATTCGTCATGCCTTGCTGATTCTCTATCTTCGATATGATCTGAATGTTCTTGCCCTTCTCGCCGAGGATTGTGCGGATATCGGTCAACGCCTCGGCGTTACGAATGAAGGAGGCGAATATCATGTCAACGTCGTGCTCGACACCGAACAAAAGGTCAGACTTGTCTTTCTCGGACACCGCCGGCAAATCCACTGGCACTCCCGGCAAATTCACGCCCTTGCGAGAGCCCAACATACCGCCATTCTCAATGGTCGTCGAAATTAAATTGGGGCCTAAGGAGCAAATTATCAACGATTATTCTGGTTTCAATTTGCTTCGAAAAGCCGAAAAATACGCAGTTTTCGATACGAGAGAGTAACTTTAGTCGCAAAATTACTTTAAACAGAACTTACTGACAGAGGTGACGATAAGAGAAATCAAACCGTCGTCGACGAACACGCGGTTGCCCGTCTTCAACACCTTCGTGATGTTATCATAGTCAACATAAACAATTTGAGCGTTTCCTTTCTCCATATATACTTTGTCAGTTGACAGTTTGAAGACCTGACCCTTGACCAACTCCACCTCAGCCGAGCCACCCTGCAAAAATAGTAAAATCTCACGATCTCATTTCTCAATGTATTGGATTGTTCAATAAGTTCGTGGAGAATTTTACGGAAGATTCAAAGCCGATATTTTTATACCTACACTGAAAAAAGGTTACTTGAAAATTTATTTGTGGGAAATATATAGTTTACTTCACACAGAAATAAACTTTGTATCCTACAAAAATTATTCAAGTATTTTTATTTTTTTCGAATGTAATGAACTGGTTATTGAGAAAACAAAAAAATAGTTTCCAATTTTGTAAAAAAAATAAAGTTATTGAGTCGGTTTTGAGTATTTCATATTATAGCGTACATACACTCAGAAAAGAATACTTGAAAATTCGTTTGTGCAATGAAAGTTGATTTCACAGAAAAATAAACTTTGTATCCTACAAAAGAATTTTCAAATATTTTTTTCTCAGTATGACCACATACGCCTTCCAAAAGACCCGTGCGAATTTCGGGGCCCTTCGTGTCCAAGGCGACAGCGACGGGAATGTTGATGCCGGCGCGGGCGGTCAGATTCTTCTGCGCCTGGCGCACATTGTCGATCGTCTCTGCGTGGTACTCGTGAGTGCCGTGGGAGAAGTTCAGGCGAGCGATATTCATGCCCGTCTCGATCATCTTCTCCAAAGTCTCCACGGACCTGGACGCGGGTCCGATCGTGCAGATGATGCCGGACAAGCGGACGAAGGACGCGCGGCTGCCGATGTCCAAAGCGCACATGTGGTCCAGTTGACTTTGGGCGTACAATGCCTGGGTGTTCGGTTGACCAGCCATCTGCGGAAGTCGCGAGGAAATTAAAACAGATTCTCTTCAGGATACGCGATAGGTTCCGCGATCGACACATTGCGTTCGTGTAAAAAAGCGCGTACAAACGTGATCAACATCGAATTGGCATACGACGCGCGTTACACTTGACTCATGCAACGCGCGCCGCGAATCGAAAGGCTTGTCAATTAAATCACACATCAATAATCAGGCAATGAAGCGAGGAGTATAACGCAGCAACATCCATCAACAACAAACTACATAATAGAAATTCAGCATGCACAACGCGCCAACGTGGTTCTTGGCCGGCAAACTGAAACGCGCGTGAATCGGGCCGATGATCGGTCGCTAATTGTTTGAAACGCTTTTGGGGGAGTAAAATCGCGTCGTCTACAATCCTTGACCTCGGACAAATTATCGCGTACGGGGTGCATGATGAACAGCGAAAATAGACATAGACGCGCTTCTAATTCCGACGCACTGTTACTACGGGACGCGAACATAAAGTCGCAGCGACAAAAATAAACGCGTCTCGTAGATACAGAATAATTATACCGAGAGAAAAAATATTCTTCTACAAAATAAAATATATTTATTCGCTATTAATAACATATTTACTTCAATCTTCTTCTCTAATCTTCAATCTTTAAATTCTTTTATTTAAATAGAATAAACAATTGCTTTAATGAAATATATATATATATATATATATATATATATATATATATATATATATATATATATAT